ACACGAACAAGGATACATGCGGCACCGCCATCTTGGCGCTACGAGCCGTCGAACACCTTTCGGGCTTCAGTGTTTCCAGCGGATCTCAGATCTTTAAGATCGCCGTTGGCGTTACTCGCAGGCGGAGTTGGGCAAGAAATTTGTCCAGAGGAAGACGGTAATTAGTTTCTTCTGCACACTTGTGCAGAAGAAACTAATAAAATAGAAGATTTTATTAGAAGATTTTTTGCACTAATGAATTACCAATAAAATAGAAGATTTTTCTCGCCAAATCGAGGTTGAAGGAGATATAAAAAGATATAAAAAAATATAAAATACCAAATCAATAAGAAAGTACGCAAAGTAGCAAAACAAGTAAAATAGATAGGAAAAATGCAATTAAGAGCCTAAAAATGGTTCGACTTAACACATTAAAACATGAAAATAATGTACAAAACAACTCCCCCACATTTAGATCATTGTTTGTCCTCAATCAAACAAAACTATGAACCTTTCTAAAAGACAAATTGGTTAATTCGTTTTAAACGTCCCAGTAAATTTTTAAATCAATTTATCCATAAATTCTTATTATCAAAATTAAACTTGAAAAATATGTTCCCAACAATTTAGAATCGTACAAAATAAAACACATCTAGAGCTCTTCTAAACATAACCAGCGGGTCACAAACCTTCTTATACAAAGCTACCAATGTCAACATATATAAATTTCATTTGTATTCCTTAGTGTATGTACCTCGTCTCGTACTTCATCGACTCTTTCAGGTACGATCTACCTACTCGAGCATTTCGTAAATTAAAATTGTTTCTCTCAGTCTCACTTGGCCTTCCTAGCTGCACCAGATCCTACTCAGTCGTTGTTAAGGATATTCGTTGGAGTGATGCGATGAATGCCGAAATACGTGCTCTAGAAGTTAATGGCGCCTTGACTACCGAACCTCTCTTTCTGTGCAAGAAACCCAATGGTTGTAAGTAAGTGTACAAATCAAACGACACTCTGATGGTAGCATTGAGCACTTTTGTTCATGTGTGACTTTACATCATATTTATAAAGTATATAGAGCTTATTCATTGCATTATTCATGTATAAATTGCATTATTGTGCTTTAAATTTAAATCTTGTTAGAAAGGTATTACACTTGCTTGTTTTATAGATATTTCCACATTTTTGTAGAACTTATGGCTATTGAAGGTACATGGTGAGTACCTAGGAACCCCAGGATGATGAAAGAAGATTGATGTACATATGAAATAAATAGAAGAAATGAGTGAAACAAGCAAGACGTAGTGTGCAAATATGTGACACGACTCGAAGGCCCAATTGGTGGCTAAGGGCTTTACATAGACTGAGGGCCTCGACTTTCATGAGACTTTTGTCCCGGTGGCAAAAATGACGACCATTTGGTACCTCCTCACGGTTGCTTTGGCCGAGAACTGGAGTCTTCACTAAATAAATGGATGTGAACAATGCCTTCTTTCACGATGATTTGGAGGAAGAGGTCTACACGCGACTTCCTCCAGGATACAATTCTTCATCCTCAAATTTAGGATGCAGACTTCGCAATTCTTTTTGTGGTTTGCAGCAAGTCTCACATAATTGGTTTGCTAGATTTGCCTCGACGCTCCGTACTTATGGCTTTCGACAGTCAGCCTCTGACTGGT